CTAACCCTAATGCGGGCTAATCTGTCGGGATTTTGACCTTGTCGGGATTCTGTTTGTCGGGATTTTGACCGGCTCCCGTGTAAAAGAGACTTCGCATGCAATTTATAGTTATAGTGGATCTTGGATGAATTTTGGAAATTCGGATTTAGTACTAAATGGCAATGACGGATCTTGCATGCAAAGTGCTTATGAAAAGAAGATTTTGGATGCTAATAATTTCGTTGTTGAAGAGTTAGAGACTTTTACCGTACAAAAAACTACATTTTAATTTTGCGATTAGCTTGACAAACTGTATATTTTTTTTATGAATTATATATTTAATTATATTTAGAATATGTCGACATACGTATATATGTAAGTAGTCTTTTATAATATGGTTAGAAATCGCGTATGCAAGAAGCTTTGTTACCAGTTTTTATTAGGATTATATTTATATAAATATTATAACCAGAAAAATGAAATAAGAGATGGATTGTATTATTTAGCTTTTTCTTTGATAGTTTTAAATAAATAAACTATATTCGCTTCTTCAATAGATCAGATGACTTTGAAGTTAGACTATTAATTTTTGTTTTAAAACTTATGCAGAATTATACAAAATTTTGTAACTAAAAGTTTAAACGTAAATTTTCTGAACTTATCAACAAAAAATAAAATAAAATAAAATAAAATATAGCAAAGTTCCATCTATAAATAAATGTGAAACCAGGGTTGCTAATTGCTAAATTAAATTCCTTTATTTATATAGTAACCAAAATCTAGAAGAAGTTTATCAATAAACCGATCACAAGAAATCTAGCTATAGATAATTTATTAAATAATAGATAAATAATTTAAATTAATTCATATATAGATAAACAACAATTAGTATTTTAATAATAATTTACAAATTATAATTCCAATCTAACAAGAAGACGGAACATAGCAAGAAGGACCAAAAATGTTTACCCATAAATCAGTAAAAGATGCTAATATACTTAAAAAACCTAAACCACCTAATAATAGTGAACCACAGATACTAAATATCAAATTAAGTAAAGAAGGTCCAGTAACTTGACTTTCACATTTCATAATATGACTAGAATATGCCATGATATTATTAAATGACCATACAGAACATATTATTGTCAAAAATTTACTTCTACAAAAAAATCCAACTGGACGAGTATAATATGCTATAAGCACTGTAAACCAAGGAGATAATAATGAAAATAAAAATATGTATGCAACGCAAAACTGTTTGTTATGAAGATTATTTAGATTATTTGGTGAGTAATCTCTGACAGATAATTGATCTGTAATATTCGGTTCTTTAACAACTACTAATCCACGCCATGCTCTAAACCAAGTAATAGGTATTGTCCAAATAAATAATAATGGTATATATGGCCAATCTTGCTGTACTGAGTTATCTTTCATACATTGAATTGCTTTAGCAATTCCAATAAATATACCTACAACTATATAGTATAAAGATACCAATGAAGCAAATCTATCTAATAAAGATGCCTCTGCTACGCAATCTTTTAAAGTATCAATCATTATTAACTGTTGATCATTCGGGTCATGTAAATTTTGAGGCGGATTTATTTGCTTAGCATGATGTCCAACAGGTCTGTAACGAATTTGAGATGATTGAAAATTTGGATTTTCAACAATAAAATTATTTGCAGATAACCAATATGCACACATTGTTACTTTATCACTTTTGATATTGCAAAAATAAAAAAGACCGACAAATGGACAACCGAGACATCGAACAAACCATCCAAGTTTTCTACCAACTCCTTTAAATGGTGTAGCTCCTATTGTTAATATTGCTGGCAATGAACCTAATACATATTGTGGTATAGGGTCTTGCAAGCCATGTATTGCATTTAGCAATAGTGATTCTGTCTCCATTTTAAGTTAAAATGATATACGAAAACTTACGAATTCATTTATTTTAAAAAGCAAAAACCGAAGAATCTCTCAATTTAATAAAAAAATTGTGTTACATTTCATCTATCTATTTATATTATAAGGTTTCAATATATTTAATTTTAATTCTATAAAGACAAAGGGCAACAACCCTTTTGTTTTAACCTAAATGGAAGGTTTTACTTAAAAAAGTACTTAAGCTATCATTATATCCATCAAATTGGCAAAATGGAAAATTGACTGATTTTTAAATCTCTCGATTGATTGATTGATTTATATAAACAATTTATCTGTTAGTAATTCGCAGGGTATACGTATTAAAAGCTTGAAAACTGTGTAATGATTGGATGGGTTCGATCGAAAAAGGCATGATGGATTTAGGGAAGTGATTCTATTTCGTCTTCGGTATGTCTAGACTTATTATAACATCCACGGTACGTGGGACCATTAATAAGGGTTCTTAATAATCTACTACTCTTAACACCAAACGAACTCGGATTGTCTTAGTATGTCAAGGCAATCGATCAAGCTACAATGTATTTACTCTAACAATGGTTCATCGTAGTAGATCCTGGGATATGAAATGACTTTGATTATTATAATAATAAAGCAATAGTGAAATCCAATTTATTAGTTTAGCAAATGTTACCTATATTTATATTTATTGCATAGTATGTTTATGAATCATCTAGAGTTCCAAAAGACTTATAAAATCTATCCCACCTATAATACATACAAGACACTTATGACTTGTCGGCTCTTTAAGATATATAAAAAACATATAAATCTATGGTTCTTATCCCTGCTATCAACCTTTAAGATATTTCATTATTTTTCGGACACCGTGACTAACTATCCGACTAGATTAAGATTTTGATTTCAGCCTTATTAGTATAAGAATAGTAATAGTGTACTACACATCATACCTTTTGTATAGAAACTTATGGCAAAGACTGTTCTTATCAATCAATCGACAATAAAAAAAAAAAATTCCGAATAGTAGACTTTTATATTAAATACTGTACTGTACATTGCACGAATAAGTGATAATAAAAATAAAAAAATTCGACTGGTCAAAATTTTATTAACTTGTTTAAAAATAACGTAACTCGAACTGATAAACCTAGTGATGTATTACGTCACTGCTTTTGTTAATAATGCCTGCAAACTTTAATAATGGGGATTATTATTACTAATGTATATCGATATTTTAACTTTATCTTTAGTGTTATTATAAACTTTATTAAACAATACTTTCGTTGGAAAAGAGGTAGCAATATTAGACCTTCCCATGTTTGCAGCTATCATATACCATAATAAAGGGAATTTTTAATTAATAATCACTCGCTAATTTTTAATCAGGTATCTCAAGGAACAATGAAATAGCTGTAATCTCGCCAGAAAATTCCACGACCGGTTAGTAGATGTTATACAAGTCACCCGAGTTACTCTTATAATGTACAATCATATATGTATATTTACAGTATTTTATTAGAGAATATATTTGTTTAAAACTTTATGTTCTCAAGTTAAAAGAGATGTTTTTATGAGAATATGAGAACAAGAATTCTATCACTGCAGGCACAATAAAAAATATTTATACGATATCCAAAAGTTTAATATATAAAAATAAATTAATTTAAATAAACTTCATCCAAGTTAAAGTAAATTTTACGTGTAATAAACTTTATCAGTTCAAATGAACCTTATAAAATTTTTTATCTATGTGTGATATACAGTATACACTTTAGAGCAGGGATAGAAATTTCTTCTGCCAATTGTATTTTGGCTGAAAAAATTGTCTTATTGATACATATCATATCCAAAGAATACCACTTTTATATCTGACACAATCTACGCTTTAAATATATTCTACACTGTGCAGGAGTTTGGGGTCTCTATTTGAAAATAAACCATGCTTAAAATTTTTATATTCCCTTTAAACATATCTCACCCTGAATTTTCAACTATAAAAAAAACTAAAAAATTTTCCAAAAAAAAATTTTAATTTTCGTGAAATAACTCAACAAGATAGATTTCAGTGAATGCGGATTCACAAAAAGAAATGATTAGGTAAATCTACGAATAACAAACGTTTTCCAATAAAGAAAGCAATTGCAAAATCCATTTCAATATGAGAAAAATTAATTCCACTCCAATTATTCGAAACTAAAGCAAGAATCATATGCGAACCTATAATATGAATGCTTAAGAAAAGGTAAAAAGTAATACCACCTCTATAATTAGAACAAAAATATAATAATGTTAATAGCAAAAGGGGACCAGAATATATTAAAAATATCCATTGACCCACTATACTCTCTAATTTTATCAACTTAATAATTATGCCAGTCAAGCCAACCCAGCCAGAAGCAGATAGCAACAGTCCCAAGTAAGAACCAATATAAGAATATATAATAGCTGTTTTACTTTGGTTAATAACATTATTTGGTTGGTAATTATCATTTACATTATTTAGTAAGTCATTGTTTTCAAACCAAGCATCATACACGAATTTGAGACTCCATGGTGTAAGTTGACCGATGGCAATAAGCACAATCATTAATTCACCATGACAATGAATACAAGTATATATAGTTGGACCGACCGTCATGATAGTTACAATGATTGCCATGAGCGGATGCTGAGCTTTATAAGGTTTAAACCATAACCATGGTGAAAACAGAGGAAATCTCACTTTTGCTAAAGCAATGCAACAAAGTGATAATGACCAACAAATTATCCCAAAAAATCCATAAGGCAATCCATAGCATGATACTTGCGAAGCAAGTTCATTAGAAAAATCTAAATAATGTTAAAGAAATATATCAGATATTAATCATATTAATTAATGTCTTAGTTCATGAAAAGTTCAAACTTGGGATTGAAATTTAACGAGTATTTAGAGCGTATATAATGTATATAATGCAAGCATTTATTAAAATGAGTGCATCGGTTGAGTTAGAACACGATACTAATTATAAATAACTTTTTTTTATACTGCATTTCTTAGAATTCATGATTTGATACCATAAAAACCTGACCAACCCCTTTTAACTTATTCTGTATCTAAGATCTATGACAAAACTTTTATAAAAATTATAGCGGACAAAACTTACTAGACATATTACTGGACATATTGCTCAATCGCTAATATAAAAGAAATAGGTGAGAGTTTTTCTCAGAGATACTCTGGACATTCACAAAGTAGTCAATTTTTTAGTGTTACACTAATAAATGAAACAGTTCGCTCACTCCAATTTAGTAACTAAAAAGAGAAAAAATCTTCTATTTTAATGTTTGTATCACAAACTTGACAAAAAGATTATTTTTTGAATCCTCCAAAAATAGATTTCATTTAAAATTCGCAATTAAGTATTTAATTCTTTACAATGTATAATTTTTTCGATGTAATATGAATTTGACTTAGCGATATTGTTTGAATATTTATGGTAATTAAATAAAGCGGAAAAAAAGAATTAGAGATGTTAAAAGTCCGACTCGACTCCAAAAGTTGAGTGTTTATAAAAACTCGGTCTAAGGTTAAAACTAGGATTTGATTCAAAATTTGAATTTTTGAGTGTGTGGCAAATAAGTGGTGTTATAAATAATTTATAATAAATAAGCATTTACTATATGATAGTAAATGCTTATTAGTCACATATTATTCATCACACTATTTATTTCAAAAACTACCTTCATAGCAAAAGAGAAGATAGAAAAAAATTTTTTTATAATTTTTTTCCATTTAAAGAAGGAGCTCTATGTCATTGGTATTTGACTTACAACCTATTTTAATAATAGGATAGCATTATATTTTATATTTGTATAAGGTTACAATAGCTATATATACAACTTTAATCATTTTTATTTAAAGATTCTACACATAGGTTATCTGCTAATTGTTATACTTAAGATCTGTTTGTAGATTTTCTATTTAAGTCTTCTGATCTTCAAATATTTTTTCTGTAATATCAACTCAAATAAATAATATATACAAAACTATAAATTATATTATTTATAAACTTGATTTCTATTTCTAAGAGTTGTTTGTGCTTATTTCACAGATGTTTAGAAATTTTAACTCTTGTTAATATTCATATAACTCTAGTTTTTACTATAGTTCTCTACTAGTATCTGTTTTTCTTTTTTGGATATTTATAAATATTTTTAAAATCTAATTTAATTTTAGTTTTCTAATAAATTACATATTAACTAGTGTATCTATCAAAAATCATATTACTATACCCATATAAAATTTCTATTATACAAGTCTTCTGCTTATAAATCTTATCAAGATTTATTTGTATTATATATTTTTAATACTTAATTAACTTATATAACTTAATTTATAAGGTTATAATTTCAAAAACAGATAAAGTTTACTTTACATTAAATACAAAATTTAAGTAATTATTCAAATTTATTGATAATAAAATTTAAACTTTAAATCTATTATATAATAATCTAATTAATTTTATTTTATTTTTCTTTTGCTATAAGGCCAAAAATAATATTTAAAGTATTAAAATTTTAGTTTATATAAAAACTATATAAAGTTAAAATAATAGTATAAAGTTTCTAACAAATCAAGTCTCTTAAAATTATAAAATATAAAAATATAGACTGTTTTATTTAATAAAGAAAAGAAGTTAATATTTTTTAATAAAGTAATATAAAAAGTTTTTTTATTTTATAATTTTAAATTAACTTATTTTAATAATAGACAAAGATTATCTTAATACTAACTAAATTAAAAGTTTAAAAATTTAAATAATTAAGAGTTTAGCTCTAAAAGATATAAAAAATAGTAAACTTTATAGTAAAAAATAGTAAAACTTATTATAGGTTTTTTATAATATAAAAATAGAGTTTACTTAAATATAAAAATATTTTTTATAAAGTAAATCTTTTTTGAGCTTCTAAAAAATTAAAAAAATAATTATATTTATTCTAATATTATAAAATTATCATAAATTATCTAGTAGATTTTAATATATTAGTATTTTTTAATAACAAAATTAACTTAGAAACTTATCTTTATATGACCTTAAATAATTTTTTTTAAATTTAGCAGTCATGCTAAAACTTTATTTAGATTTGTTTTTTACAAGAAAAATATCATTGAATAGCTATATACTCTTCAATATCTAATTTTTTAAGTTTTAACTCATCTAGTTATCCTATAGATACCTATATATGATTTGCTATAGTGACT